CCGTTCTCAAGGACAATTCACACGAATTTGATCAAAGGAGGGTCGAACCGGGGCTGGGATGCACGGCGGGTGCGCTTCTCGCGGATGCCGAGAGAGATGGAAGATGGCGGCGTGGAAGGAATGGCTTTTTCTCTATTTTTTTTAGAGAAGTGACGTGGAAATAAGATAAGGGAGGGTGGAGAGCTCAAATATATATGACTAGGTCACAACACTTGCCATATATGGCCAAGGGATGGGCTCGCGCGCACACGGTAGGCTAGGGTAAGGCTCGGTCCTATTTTGAGGGGTCCAAAAGGGTTAAAAGACCACTTTTAAAAGGCTGGACGAGTTGGTTCGATGTTTCGGGTTGCAACGGCTCGAAAACGACTCGAAACGGATTTAAAATCGGTTTAGGCGATTAAACCGAAAATCGTCGAAATAATTTAAAATTCAAACCGAATAAATTCTAATAAATTCTAATACATTTAAATAATCAATAAACACATAATACTCAAATATATAATGCCATGAAACAATTTACTAATAAGCAGATAAATAATACATGCAAAGACGAGCAGTTAATAACAATAATCGAGCAAATAATATAAAACAAAGGAAGAAATTAAATAAAATGCCAATAAATAATAATATAATATTCAAAAATTCTAATAAACGAACGGGGCCGCTACATCTTATACATCCTTGTTGATGTGCCACGTGCAAAGTAAGTGGGGCCACTGTAGAAAATTCCTCTGAATAGGAGTAATGAAGCCCAAATCCCTATCAGTGACAATGATTGAAGGATGTACATCAGAACCTATCAGAAGCCTCAACCGTTGTAGAACACAGTCATAGTTGTACTCGGTCTCGTCATTGATAATTGCACAGGCAATTATAAAGTTCTTGTTGCACGGCGTCATTCCAACCATTTTCGCCAACGCCATCTGGTACCCGTGAAAATGAAAGCAACATGGAGAAACATAGAATCAAAAAACTTACTCAAAGATACTTATTAAGATTCACATTACATTGCTATTTATATAGTAACATAACATACCTGTTGGTTTTGTACGTGGAATTTATACCGACATACCGGTAATATGTCCGGAATAGACTGGCTGCTTGAGGATGCGACATGAACACACGTGTCAACGCATGTGTATCCTAATCAACATCTGTGTAAACTATATACTTGCTAACCGTAGATAAATACAGAATCTGGGCAGGCACATCCCTACACCTGCAAACTATCTCTCTGCAATTTAACTTTATAGTTATACACTTGTCGGCGAGCAGCGTTGGCTACAAGGGTTTTCTCCTGAATCGCAACCAAAATTGCTGTCTTTTTTGCCTGAGCAGCAGTCATATCACTGACAATCTTTTTAGATGAATCGCTAAGTCCGCTCATCTGCCGGTGACCCTCGGGATACACAACCATTGCATGAATATGCGTTCCCTTCTTAACATCATAAAGAACTCAGATACACCATTTTTCTGATTTTGCCACAAAATTTGTGTTTTATAAAAAAAAAGGGTATTTGGACTCTTTAGTTTTCGAACGTCTCAAAACATTCTCAACTAAATCTCTTATCCTGCCTCTATAACGTTCCACTCGATGACACCTCAACACCTTCTGCTTTCCTTCTTTTTCGTGTTTCGAGATGACCAATTCGAAATCCCATATAATTGCAATATCTTTTGCCCATTTAACAGCTTCTTCAGAACTATCAAATAAGTCATCTATAGTGAAAGCAGGTCTGTAGTCAACATCGTCTCCTCTAAAATTTTCGAGTGCCACCTGCAATATATTACGATGTATGTTAATAATTTTACAAAATAATCAATTATAACTTCTAACATAATAGTAGTAGTTTGTAATTTATTATATAATCAATTCTAACTTCTAACATAATATCAATAAATTCTACTTCATAAGATATTTCTAATCGAACGACACCTGTAATATATATACGATTACTATTAAAAATATATATTAGACTAGTAATTATAAAATTAACTTATAGACTATTTTTTTTATCGGAATGATAAAAGATTTATATAACCTCAAACAGCGAACAAAGTTCGAATACAAAACAAACATAAAAACCGAAAAGAAAGACTGAGAGGACACGCTTGCAAGCGGCCTAGAGCTCAAGAAATCAAAGATAAAATAAAAGAAGACAGCTATTCCAACCACTGCATAAAATGCCTAGCTAGATTAACTAACTCCAAAAAAAGAAGAAACAAAACAAAGGAAGCAAGAGAGACTAAAACCAGAGCAAAAGAGCAAGACCAGCCCTATATAGCTGAGAATTCAAGCCATTCCTTGTGAGCCATCTTGATCACAACAGGAATAGGCATCAGAGTCTTCTCAAAGAGCCATAAGTTGCGTGATTTCCAAAGCCACCATAGGAGATATGTAGAAAGTTGGATCCTCTCTTCTGCAACTGGAGTTCTCTTCATGGTGCACAAGTGTCTCCACCAAGATTTAAAAGAACAGCCAATCATGTCTGAAGGATTCCAATTAACAGGACCAATCTTCCACAGTAATTGAGCTCTATGGCAGGTGAAAAGCACATGTTCAATGGTTTCAGGGGATTCACCACAACATATTAGAAATTTTTATTAATAATAAAATATATATTAATATAAAATTAATTATTAATTTTTTTAATTAATTTTAAAATATATATTAATATATATTTTTAATATTTAAATATTTTTTAATTACAAAAATAAAAACTGCGAAAAATAAATAAATTAATCATCGGTCGCGCGCGGCTGCGAAAGGAACTACCGACTACCGTTTGCGACTGCAAAAAGAAAGGCCGGCGACCAATAGCGGCCGCAAAATGAAAGGCAGACAGCCGCTCGCAGCCGCAAAGCGGACGACTGAAAAATTAATTGCGGCCACGCGAGTTGCGGCCGCCGTCCCCCACCTATTCGTGCCGCGGTCGCCGGCCGGGTCGTTCGATTGCGGCCGCAATCATCCGTCAGCCGACCGACATATTTTTTTAAAAAAAATTGAAAAAAGATTTCGCATGTAAAAAAAATTACATGTGAATTGAAGAATCCTTTCCCGGTGCGTGAGGGTTGTCCTGCCATTTTTTTTTTTATATTTTTGGATTTTTTTGGTTTTTTTAATTGTTTTGTTGTTTTGTAACAAAG